TTTGTGCTGATAAGTTTTTGTGTTTCTTCTACTGACTTCATTGAAAATCAGGGGTTTATCAGGTATAATAAATAGGAAAAGGCCCATTTCTAATCTGCAAAAGGTTCATTTTTATTTTTTTTCAATAAACTTTCTTGCAACTTTCTTGCAAATATCAGACAACCTGATGATTATTTTGTTTAACACCTACAGCCATAGGGGGTGTTTTTAAAGATTGATCTAATAGCGTCACAGTTTTAAAGCTAGAAGGACCTTAGACTAATAACCTGCTCTAGAAGTTGTGCACAGATCTCTGTCTGGCTAGTATTTACCGTTCTACCGGAACTTTTCAGCTAGATTAATAACTCATATTTTTATCCATTAATCTTCTGATCTTATTTGGTTAATGTTATTTCTTATTTGAGGGTTTGATTATAAAGTAATTATTAGTGTTGAGTCGATGCCATTTTTTTGGCCCCATTATCGATACACGATAGCTAGCTGTGCAGTATTGGCCAATACCGATACTATAACAATACCCTCTGTTTAAAATTGATGCATGTGTGCATATATGAAGAACTGCATACTACTTGGATGTAAAATAATTGCCATTATGGCTTTGACAGCTGATGCCTACCTTTGTGAAGCAGGAAAAAGACTAATACAAAGTGAATCCAGTAGAACTTTTTATTGCCTACCTGGAATGGGTGACAATATTTGAATAAAGTTTTGGCTCCCAAAATGGTATTGGTGCCCTATTTTTTTGTACTCTCCGATACCACCATTTTAGTGCAGGATCGGGGCCCTGTCCGATACTGGTATCGGTGCAACACTAGTAATTATCCTAATGCTGGGCAATTCCCAGAATATTTCTAAAATTCTGAAAAGAAAAATGTATTTGCTTTTTCTCATATCAGCTGAAGGCCTTTATATGATTCCCAGAGAAATAGCTGGAGGAACAGACACAAGATATTTTATTGCTCCTGAAAAACAGAAATGTCAGACAACATCTGTGAAGCATGGGCGTAGGTTTGCATAGGGACCATAGGGACATGTCCCTACCAAAATTTTGGCCCGACCTACTTGTCCCTACCAATGTGAATGACATGTTTATAGTTTACAATACAGTGTTGTTGCAGAAGGCGCTTCTTTTCTCACAACTTGTATGTTGAAGTTAATATTTTTAATGATCAGTGTCAGTTCCTCTTATAGTTCCCGCTCTGATGTAAATACAATAAATCTATTTGCAGTCCCTAGAATGTCATTTTACTTTGTTTTACAATAAAGAGAATATTAGCATATCAGATAAAAAAAAATAAGAGTGGGTTTTAACCTGTTTACCTTTGCACAATTCCATTTCTTCAAAAGAAAACGTCTGATAAATACACATATAACAGACATATTAACATTATATTTGGTTAAAAAGGCACATATTTACCTTTCGTCTTAGTCACTTGTAAGTTCAAATGTAACGCTTTTCAAAGAGTTAAGTTGTCCCAATTTCACATTATTCAGAGCAACTGATGCTTCAACCATTGATAAACAGCATATTGTGGGTGTAGTGCTTATAAAATTTGTATAAATGTTGCAAAAAATGCAGTTTTCTCTTTCAACGAAATGCACCCTGATGCTAACGTCAAGCATAAAAAAAAAATTAGTAGCATGCATATTTTTGACTTCAGACCAATTTAACTTATGACCAATGGTGTCCCTACCAAAGTTGAGATCAAACCTACGCTCTTGCTGTGAAGCTTTAAGCACTGATCCCAAACTAATGTCATTCTTTACTCTTTTTTTTTACTCTTCTAATGAAAGAAATTTGAACACATATCAATTCTCATATATTTCCTGCCATTTAACAGTAAGTAGATCAAATCCATGAGTCTTAGCTGCATTAAATGAAGACTACTGTATGTTTATGCATGTTTATGTATGCTTATGATGTTTATATATGTTTATGTATGTTGAATAAAAATAAAGCAGTACCTGCTTGAGATCAGCTGTGCGTTCATAGCCTTTCTTCATAAGTATGGACCAGGCTATCTCTGTGTCATTCACATTCATCTGGCATCCATACGTTTCAAAATACACTAAAATTAGAGAGACATCAGAATCATATCACATACTGTATGAACAGATAGTTTTCTAAAGAGATGCTGCACACACTGACCTTTCCTTGAGTTTCCCACCATCTGCAGCTCTTCAGAGAGATAACTGCGCTCCTCTGTGTGTTCATCTGCAGACAGATTTACTGAACCTCCTCTAATGAAATCCTGAAAACTGGGACCGGAGGCGATCTGACTCCTGAAGCTGTCGGAGAGAGCCTTCCTATTCTCCCCTGAACTAACCGCGGCTGTGGAGGGGTTTGAACAGTATCTGGGCTTGTTGAGCCATCTGAGAGGAGTCCAGCGTTTGGAAAAGCAAAGGAAGGGCTTAACATTCCTCATGTTGGTTAAACAGCAACGCTTCCTGTCATAAAACTCCGAACAGCAACATTTAGAGCTAATATATTTTTAGAAAGGGGTGAGAAGTAAACTAAGAGCAGTAAATGTCATTCAAGCGCCGACATAACATGCTGCCGAAGATGTTTTCATGTCAAGAGGTATCACTTCCTGTTCCTAATGACAGTCGCATAGTCAATACGCATGCGCAAGACGTCAGATTTGCGTTTATCCCTTTAGGTTTTCATTTTCCACCAATGTGTTACTGTTCCTCCCAAACAACTCACATCTTTGTCAGTGAAGCTGAAGATGTGATCCCACATCTCTTCCTTCATGGTGCCCATCTACATCCAAAATTCTGAGAAAAAAGTCAGAATCAGTTAACTTTTTTGTTTTTTCAGTGGCCCTAATCCTCTCCCGTAGATACACGCCTGTTGAGGAAGTTTAAAGTTGATTTTTCGTACAAAACTAAAGGGCAAATTAAAGAGAATAAATTAAAGGGACAAACAGGGTGTTGAATATGGGTATGCTGGTCTGACAGAGGCTAGCTGCTTAAATGATCAAATATCGATGTACAACAACAAAACAATAGCAGATTAAGGGAATATTAAACTTAAAAGTACAGGCAGAATGTTGAAAATTATGTTTTCTATATTTTAAATATCCTACATTTAACTAAACTGTTATTATAAGATGAAATGTAACAGCTTGATGCGTATTTTTATACAGTATGTAACTTTATTAAAAATATATATATACATTCAGATGTAAACTCGGATCTAACAAAGAACAATAACCCTACTTATATATATTAGTTTGTCCCTAATCTGGGATGACACTGACGGACGACAGCGAATTATCTTTATGGATCCGGTGTGCTGAGCGTGCCGGCGGTACGCCCATAATTACCGTCCGTCTCTAACATCACACTAAACAACATAGTTCCTGGCAAGAGGGATTTAAATAGACAACATTTTTTCAGTTGGTATTGATAACCTTTAGTTAGGAAAAAATATAAATTAAAGTTTGGCATTTGTTCAATATGTACACAATAATTAACATTGAAAGGAAAAAATTAGCTCCCCATTTAATTGCATCACAGTTTTCACTTTGGCTTCATAATCCGTCTTGTAGGCTATCACCAGTTTGAACAAGTGCTTTGTTCAATAAGTTATCCTCAGTAGAGGTTTAATTCCACTGGACAGTTTTTTCTTTGGTGTACTAACCGTAAGGATGCTCATTGAACAACATAATACTTTTATTACTTTCACCTTTAAACACTGCTGAAGTTTATCCTCCACAAGAAAGCAGAAAAGTGTTCCTGGGCCACCAAGAATAAGGTTCTTTCCATTCTTTCCAGCTTACTTTAAAAAATATTTCAACACATATTTCTGAGGAAGTCATCATAGGTCAGTGTCATCCCACTGCATCAAGATAAAGCTGCAAGAGCTAAAGAAAAAAAAAAGGCCAGAATGAACAAAGCTATGCAATTACATGCTTTGGTTCCAAAAGAAATAACAAATTTCTTTGTTATTGTAATTAAGGTAGTGGGAACAAGAACAAACCTTCCTATGGTCAGGGCAATTCTAAGGCACAGACCTCAGTAGGGGCAAGCAGTCCCTACTGCTCAAAAAGTTCTGCCCAGATCAGAAGTTAATTCTGTCAGAACTCCTTAACCAGGGCTTTAAGAATAAAAATAAGTCACCATCTTTTTTTTTAGACCTGCATCAGAGAGCAGATTTCTGTGACTATATCTGTGGCTTGTTGGAATCTGCAACCAGCAATCCTATAAACACATCGTTGGTTGTGTATTCCAAGTGGGTCTTCATTTTTAACCTGTCTTCTGTCATTCAATCTTCTATCCACTGTTCCAAAAAGCCCTAACATTTTCACCATATTCTAGATATCTTGTCACCCAGACTCTCCCACCTGAGCTCAAGGTCATTACTGCTCCCCAAGAGTTCCCTATAAGTCTTTTGGTTATTTCTTTGACAAATGCTCGACTCTCCAAACCCATTAATATTAAAAATTTTCTGTTCTTAACTTGTTTAAATTTCTTGTTACTTATTGAAGAATACAGTGTGAGATATTCAAAGCTTGAACAATGTTTCTAAGAACATTACTATAATACGCTTTAACCCTGACCTGAAAGCTGTTAGTGATGATGCGTTTTCTTCACAAATGTTCCCTTATATACCTCAAAGGCCTTCACAAAAAAAATTAATCTGTATTATTATCAAATCATAAAAAGGTTGAAAATGTGCTTATTTCGAAAGGAAATTGTTTGCCCTTAGAACTTTTTACTTTTTACCTTTTAACTTTTATTTAAAATTGTAGAGCGAAAAAAGCTGATTTCTTTTTTTTTTTTTTTTACCTGTGAAATGTAAAAAATATATAAATCCCTTCCACTTTACAGTTATGGACTTCCTTGTGCATGTTTATCACAAAACATCCCATTGCAACATATTTAAGTATGTGGCGCATTGTAATAAAATAAGCGGCATGAATACTTTTGCAATGCACTGTGAATTAAATCTCATAAAACCCATCTTCCCCAGGAATGACAAAATACACAAAAGGTGTCTTTGAGGTTTTTAATAATAATTTATAATAGTATTTGAATAACAACTAATAAAACAAAATCATACTAATTTTATTTGTGTAGAATACATGGTGATAAAGCAAAAGAACGCAAGCAGTGATGGCTTCCTCTCTTCAGTTAGCCCTCAGCTGATAAGTCTGGAGAAAGGAAGCTCAGAGGTTAGTTTACTCAACAAAAAATTTCAGCATGAAAAGTGTGAATCTAAGTTTCGAGGTTTCTGTCTGGCGTTAATGGAAAATATCTGTTTACCTCGGCCTCATTCCCTGTCCTCTGTACCTCTGATCGCTCTGGATGGATGTAAGATCTTCTTTGAAGGTCCCCTCATAGATATCCGACTGACGCTTCATGTAGCTCTCGCTTTCATCTCTGAGGAGAAGAACATTGATACCCACAGTGTGTTTTTAACAATGAATCTCTGCTGTGTTTAACACATCTGAGCGTAGTCTTCCCTGCTTACCCGAGTCGTTTGCCCATGAGGGTCTGAAAGATTTTTCTGGCGGAAATCTGACCCAAGACTTTCCTGTAACTGTTAGTAAATATGGCATCAGCGTGGCGTTCAGAGCTGAAAAGCACAAAAGGGGAAATCTTTCATTAGTTTGGCTTCATGGGCATCAGATTCCACACTTTTAGCATTAAAGAATGAACTCCATGCATATCTTTTCTTCAATGTACCCATATTTTGAGATTAAAGACAGTTTTCTCTGGAACTGGCTGACGATAAAATATAAACTCACTCACCGCAGCTCTTCGTCATCCCTCTGTGGAAGCTTGTCTTTCTTTTGTAGCTCTGCTTGGTTCTTGAGAGAAGAGGTCATGAGGACGGAAGCGTCCCTTTCTCCAAACCTGTTAAACATCACCATACTCTTCTTAAATGGCCAATATAGAATTCAAAACACACCCCACCTCAACTTTAGGCCACTGTTCGGAGGTTTTACATTTAATTTTCTCCTTTTGTTGTTAAATGTTAAACTGTGCTTGGGGTTGACAAAATGCTCTTGTCCTTGTCAAATGACATGTTCTGCTGCCCGAGCGCTGGACAACATGATTAAGATGACGTGCCACTGGAATAATGTTACTATAGTGACTAATTCAGACATCTTGACCCCTCTTTGCATAACAAGAGCAAGAGGACAAAGACATGACAGGGAAAGTAAGTGGTGAAAAGTCCCAAAAAAAAAGAAGAGCAAATTAGGCATGGGTCTTTTTTAACAACTGAATATCTATGAATTATTCACTTATTAAGGACTTAATGATTAGACTGCGCACTATTCATTTTAGTTAAACCTTAAAAATTATTTTAACTGCTTTTAAATTCCGCATTTTTAAATATTTTGAATATCAATAAAGTATATTTTGTAAATATTGTGTTGATATTTTAATTTTAACAAAATCATAAGCAGTCTGATTAAACTTTATTGGAAGATATTGCTTTAGTCAAATGTTATTCTCAGACATTTAGTTCTTTTGAGGACATTGAATCCCTAGAATCAGTTCTTGAAATGTTTGGTGTAAAAGACCTGTTCAAAGAGTTGTTCAGTTGTTCCTTCATTATGCTAGTGAGTGACAGAGTCCCACCTTCAGCTCAATACTAGTTGTTGATACAGACCAAAGACTCTCAAGTCCCTATGTCTTTGAGACATTATGACCACGTGAATCACGTTCAAATTCATATGAAACTGGACAGAATTCACTATGCAGCAGCAATTCTTTGTGTTTATCCAGACAAGTAAAGCAAAGAGTGCATATCTTCATTTCATTCTTCAAATCAATAACTGTCCTGACAGACTTCCTTTCTGGGTATTATTCAAATTCACAAGTGTGAGCCACAAAAAAACGTGAATGATTCTTTTCAGGAAATTATTAAATAGTAGGCTTCCACAGGCAAACTGGCATCAAGGGAAGAGAAGGTTGACCAAGCAGACCAGAGGAAACCCCTCTGAAACCAGGGCCGGGGACAGCTCATTGAAAAGGAGCTGGTGATCAAGGGTTCCAGGGGTTCAGCTAGGTTCAGCTCAGATAGGCATCAGAAAGCCCGACCCACAGGGTCTTATCACCTGGTAGTTCAAACATGATGTTTGTTTCAGTCTGTCAGGAAGGATAGTGTCGGGGGGGGGCTTGGCTCTCTTAATCTCATCTTAAAAATGTTATCCGGGCAAGTTAACCTGCTGAACTAAGGTGTGATGATTGAGGATATCAGGTGGATATAGCTGGACTCGCACTCCTTGGTCTCTGGATCCACACTTCTAGACTTTCCCCTTTTCCACATTTGTACAATGAGAGACGCATCAGCCGGGGTTAGGATGCTTGCAACCTTAAGCTAAGAGCCTAAGCGTTCTAACAAAGGTGGGTGGACAGATTCTCCATCTGGAATATCCGCTAATTGGAGACTTTAAAGAAATTGTGGGAATAAAATGGTGTGAGTCTGGCACAGTCCCCATGATCTAAGTATGACCACTTGTTTGTTAGTCAAAGAGATCCATAAATTGGTACAAAAATCTTGTTAATTTAGGAAGATATTTGAGTTTAACATATCTATATTCTAACTTAAACATTTTTGAGGGATAGTTTGGGTTCACAGAAACTGTAATGTGTCTATTTCAAATACAGTTTTTGTCACCGTCATCCGCTATTGCTACCTTGACCAATCCGCTTTAAACGGTTGGCTAAGACTGGCCACTAAAGACCCCTCCTTTAAAGCAGGGAAAGGAAGGATGCATTTGTTTAGCAGATTTGACGGAGCCTTCGTTGCCTCTCTGTGACATAATCCGCCTTGGAGGGATGCAGCCCAAACTTTTTGTCCGTAGTGTTGGAGAGTTGGGAATATCAAGGTCTGATCTCTGCTTTTTATTCAATCAATAACATCAGTGGGTGTCTTCTTCCAGACAGGGGAGCCGGTCTTTGCTTTGGTTTTGCTGCAGTCAGTTATGTTGAAGAAAGCAAAAAGAAAAGCTATTGATTTTAAAATCTGTATCTACTGAATCCTCACCGATGGCCATGTCCCCTCAAAAAGGATCACATGCAGTGAAAATCCGCTTTCTCTGTAGGATGGCTGGACTGAGCATAACAGCTGTATGGGAGGAGCACAGTCATCCCGCAAGCTCAGAGGTCCTACAGCTGTCACACCTCTGCATCAAAGGCTGTCATTTAAGGTGGTTGAAATAAGCCCCATAAGTACCCAGCTTTGGACGTTTTAATGGCACATCCGAGAGAAGGAGACAGCATGACAGGCCCAGAACTGTAAATGTTTTCTGTAATGCTGATGCCGTAACATCATCAATCACACCCTCACACCCCAACCATGGACTGTTCACCCTGCTACCCTCTGGGAATAGGCTTCGCTGCATTCGACGCAGGTCCAGCAGATTCCAAAAAAGCTTCTTCCCCACCGCCATTAGACAGCTGAACTGTTGTGAAAACTCTTAATCATGTCACTGACTCTGCATCACACTGATAACACCAAAACTCTGCATATTTGCACCATATATATTGATGCTCTGAACTTCCATATCAACGCAGTATTTGCACCATATTTTTTCTCCCACAAATGGTATGAAAGTTGTACAAAACGAAATTTCATTTTGTTTACACTCTGTGTATACACTAATACATAAAAGTTGTCTAAGTGATGGATCCTCCGGAGTGAGCTATTGATGAGAGGGGTACCTGGGTTAAAAGGTTATTTTAATTTCTTTTAAATCTGACATTAGAATTTAGGTGAGCAAAATTGTCGTAATGACTAGTTAGAGCTTAAACAGCTTAGGTGAGTAAGTACATATTAAAACATGGTAGGAATTTACATTAGTTTTTTTTTTTTCAATTTCTACAAACTGTTAAAGTATTTCTACACAGAAACACTTATCAACTCCTACCTGCACAAAACTTAGATGGTATTACACCACTGTAATTGATGAAATCATAACAGTTGCTAATCAAAGTACTTTTTATCTACAAAAACACCATAGGAGGTCAATAGAAATGTTCAATAGTCGCAAATTATCTAAAATAAATCTATTACAAGAGCATTGAACAAGATGGATAGAAGTGTTATGATTTTGGTGTGACATACCTGATGGATGGGTAGAGCGGAGAGCCTGATAAAGACATGACCAGGCAACAGAAGAGCAGCAGCAGCACAGCAGCTTTCTCCATCATCGCAGCCAGTCCTGGAGAACACTGGACTACCAGAATAAATGACAGGGGAAGAAATTACATTAGAAAAAAACCCTGAAATCACAGTTTCCCACCATCAGCGTCATCACACAGCTGAAAAAAGAAAAAACAGGGAGAAAAAAAACTTTAGGCATGGAGGTGTGTGTGCAGTGATTTGAAATGTGCACACTTAATAGAAGATTTCTTTTGCATATACTTATGCATGTTGGATGTAATGCACTTTGTGTGTGTATGTGTGTTGTAAGAGTTACCTAGTCTTAACACAGAGTCAGAGCGTCCCTGCTGAGCCACTACTCGGTGCCTTCCACTCTCATCGTCCGTAAATGCCAGGAAGAACGGGACAAAAGATGCAGGAACCCGGCTGTTTGTTCCCTCTCTGCATCCATGGTCAGTTTATACTGAACCTGGGGCTCTCGGTCACACCCACAGCTCACATCATCACTCTGTCTCTCTCTCTCTCTCTCTCTCTCATTGAGCTTGGCCATCAACATCAACTCTCTGGGGTTGATTTTTTTTTTTTTTTCCTTTGACCATGACCATAATTGAATAGCACTTAGAGCCACAGTGTATTATGGTTTTGCATAACCATGAATCAGTAAATGACAATGTATAGAGGGTTGAAATAGGGATTGATAAATGCATAAGTTAAGCAGTGTTACATGTTTTGGTTCATCAGTTTCTTCCATTTAATGTGAACTTCTTAATGCATTTCTAGCCTGCAAAAAAATTTAAAGCAAAAACTTTAACCCCTTTCCTGTATTTTCAGCATTTCATTCAGATTTCTTCTACAAATAGATAGCTAAATCTGCATAAAAGAGGGAGCTGTTGGGCTAGTAGGCTACTGCTATATTTGTACCCTGTTTTACAAAGGCTTGATTTATTAGTAAATATCTATGTTTAAACTAAATAGAATCCTAAGTGTGGAAAAAGGTTTAAAAAAGGAATTTTAAATGTTGGTATCAGAGTCACTGACTTAACCTAAAGTCTAAAAATGGTCCCATTCTTACTACATCATGCAGCCAAACCTCTTAGTGATGGAGGCTTATTTTGATATATTTAAAGCAAAAATGTATCTTAGTTTATCTTCTAAGTGTGACCTCTTCCTAATAATTTCTGATGTTTTATAATGATCTTTACTTCCTATCTTTCTGTGTCCACACAGCTACGTATGTAGAAAAGCTGTGCAGAAAGCAGCTGAAACACCAGTGCTGACTTGTTGATGTTCAAAGCAAAGCACTGAGTTACTAAAGCACAGAAACATTTTCCCTCAAGTGTTTATCTGCACATAATTAACTTGTAACACATTAAGAAAATGTTACTTGCAGAAATATCAACAAGTCATATCTAAACAAAAGGGAAACATAGTGGCGTTTACTCACCACTCCAGGATAATCTTGCATAATAAAACAACATCTGACCAAGCCTGATGTCAGGCTGCTCTTGTGCTGCACCTCAGACCTAGTGTGTTTGTATCCATATAAATTATATTATATTCAGCTATCAAAAATTTGTTGCATCACTTTCCAGGAGACAAAAAGGAACATAAACATTTATTTATGGCATCAGCCTGTATGGAACTCTCCATCATTAGTCCACCCACAACACATAGTGCTCAAACTGAGAGAAAATACACAAAATCTTTCTTTCTTGATAACCCAGATACTTTTAATTCATAATAAGTAGGTGGGTTTTTCTAGGAGAAAAAACAATCATAAAGTCATGTTTTCTTGCTTTAATGTGATCCTTTTGTTTTTGGATTGTTTTGAGTATTTTAACTGCGATATTGAGGGTTATATTGTCCAAGTAAGAAACAGGATTTTATACCTTAGGAAAATAACTGGTCACAGGGTGCTTTAAAGAAAAATTTAAAGAGTTAAAAAAAATTCTGCTGTTATTACAAGAGAAAAAAAAGAACTTAAAAAAATCTTCAAGCTTGGAATACAGGGAGAAAAATCAAATGTCAGACTCTACAGGTTTGAATGCTTAATATTACTTCAATTTAGAGATACCAGACAATATTGTCATTCCTTTACATGTTGATTATATTATGGCAAGCTGAAATGCAAATCGACCGTCTCATATCATACCGTTTGCTTTCGTTGTAATTCTTCTTTATAGAAAGAGTGATTAACACCATATTGTTGCTGCTGAAAATACAAACTTGCTTTGAGACAAATCTACTGATTTACCAGCAAATCTATAAAAGAAAAAGGAAAAATAACTTTCATTAGTATCATTGAATGTTTTTTTTGTGTGCAGGTTTTTAAAATTGTCTTTTTCAACTTCTCTTTGGGTCTGAGGAAAAAAAATTGTAAAAACCTCCCCAAGGTTGCCTTATTGTCAGCTAAACTCCAGCTACTATACAGTTATTGCCAACAGCCATTAATGCCTTTACTTTGAACCCCATTGTTACGCAGGATTCTTAGAATTTATCAATATCCCATAATAGTCTGTTTAGTCACAATTGTTACCCGGGCCGCACCACAAAACTGGTAATGAAGAGATGGAAGTGGATGAGCCTGTTCATTTGGGTTCAGCTCAGTGCAGATTATACAAGCTTTGGTACTGGTAGATTATTTTGGCTTTAATCTGAACACCTACAGATGCGTTGGAAAATAAAAAAATAGGTGTGTAAAGAAAAAGTAAAGCTCAAAACCTTTTCAATAATGTATCTGTCCATATATCCAGACACATCAGGAGTTCCACTTTAATGACCCTAACCAGTAGTACTGGTGTCCTTTCAACATGTTTCGGTGTTAAAGCAAAACAATCCATTGCTTGAACTGTTTTACTTGGATGTTAAAATCATAACTTCTATGCCGGACATTTGTTGCCTTTCTCTTTGACCTTTGATTTGACACCATTTCTTTTTTTTTTTTTTTTTTTCAGAATGAAATGTCAGACTGAACTCCACACCTCTATTGTTTTGGAAAGTTTCCCTAATGATTCATTTAGACAGAAACTGCAGCATGGATGTCTGGATTGTTGGTTTTCTCTGAGAAAATGCTTCTTATGTAGAACAATAACTTCTAATATGCTTGGTGCTGTTGGACTTGTATCATTCTGAATACAACTGCGTATAAAATAAGCTCCTCTTGTGGAGACCTTAAATAATCCAGTGAATTCCAGACCTATATGTAGCAAACAGTTTATTATTCATATCTTCTTTTTGGGGGTTTGTCTGAGGTGCAGAAGGAAAATTTTATTTATGCAAAACTAGAGTATAAAAGAAAAAATGAGTTTTTTTTTTTTAAATATGAGGGTGTAATTTGATAAATCCTGGACACATCATGGGATTATTTTTGTGTTCACTAGAAGAGACCCCCCAGGACATTTTTTTGCATGCATTATGGGTTCATAAGGAAATTAGTTTGGTTTTTTTTCATAATGGGGAAATCATCTCGACATTAAAATGAAAAAGTAGTGCTTTTGTGTTCAGGTTGACCAGTGTAAACCTCTCCTACTCAAACTTATCTCTTGAGGACAGTCTGAGTGATGAGAGTGCACTGCCAGCACAAATGGAAAACCCTCTAGACATCCTAAAGCACAGATGACCTCATTTGCTCCTGTACGCCTTGAAATAACAGAGTTCTACCCAAATCTTTGGGAAGCTCGGAGGGTCTACCCTCTCCCTGTGAAAGGTGCATCTGCAGAGTAAAGCTTCTCCAAGCTCAAATTAATAAATAACCTGAAATCTTCTATGGCAGAAGATTGACGGAATGAGCTGGCAGTGATTAGGATTAACAAAGTTTCAAATAGAGCTTTTACATATAGTTACGCACATTTACACAGCTTTAAGAGGTCATTTTTCAGGTTTAAATGTCTATCTGGTTTCAGGTAACATATTTTCATAATTTAAGAACAAATGTGATATTTGATTTGTGTCCATTTTTCTACAATTTATGATTTTTATTAGTATAAGTTATTTGGATATGTGAACAAAGGAATGCTGACGCAGTTATTGGCTAATTAACGAATGTAGTTTGCTTTTTAAAAAGTTTTCCCCATGCTTTCCCTTTCTTATAATGGAGAAAAAAGAGCAAAACGGTCCATATTTCTACAAAATTACTTTCAATTCTCTTTAAAAAAAAAATAATAGCAATTACAGGGCATGTAGATACACACATACATACCTCCTTTTTATACGCTTTCCATAAAATCTGTTTCAGACATGTGGTGTTTTAAAGCTCCACTAAGATCAAATATATTTTTTTTCATGTGCATAAAAAAGACAAAACTCATACGTTCACCTCAGCTTCTTTATTTTCAAGTCTTCATTACAAAAACATTATGAAACCGCCCATATGTAATCAATAAATTTTCATGGGAGCATTTTGCGTCAAAAATAGAACAGTGCCACAGCCAAACAGAGCAGCGTGGGTAAGATCAATCCAGGTGTCAGTGCTACGTCCAATTGTTAGCTATTTATTGAAGAAGCTGCTCCTTTCTGAGGTGAAATGGGCACCGAGCATCAACAAAGAGGAATGTACAAAAAAAAAAAAATGAAAAAACCCAAATCTCATCTAGAAACCACAAACAAAATCCAGCTCACTGAAAACTATGTTGGACAAAAACAAAAGATGAGAGGAAGTGCAATGATCAGTAGCTTTGCAGCCCTCTGCAGGAGAATCTGTCAGTGTTTGTCCAGTCTTTCAGAGACAATGACGTCCATCCTTTCCTTTTCCCATCACAGCCAAACTGCATGTTTAAACCGTCAATTGGATTCTTGAACATCTGTTCCATTTTTTTTTTCTTTTCATAGTCTGATTTTGCTGCAAACAAAAAAAAATGACCATCGGTGTTTTCTTAGATTTTTTTTTTTTTTTGCCCTTATTTCCTCTCCATCCTGTGTGAAAAGAAGAAAACAGTTATGACTCATAATGGATGAAGGAAGATCTTCATGATTCATCTAACAAATGAAGCAGGTCATGCATTTTGATGCGCACCCTTAAGATTCTCAGAAATGTTAAAATGAGGATAATGCGGAACAGTTTTTAAGAGTAAAGAACATGTTAAATAAAGGTCGGGATACAACCAGAACTATGATCATAGAGCATAATGGTAGGGCTATGGTGTTGCTGCTATGGCTTTGGTTGTAATGGTCATGATAGGATGAGTAAAAAGGCAAACCAGGAGGAAGTGGGGGGAGGGGTGGCGGGCGGTAAGTACAGAATGAGAGCACCACAGTCATGCACACTGCCAGACATTATGGAAATGCAGTGTGGATGCAGTCTGAGAGGATGCCCTTACTTCAGCCTGGAAGCAGAACCCACTCTTATGTTACAAAAGAAGGGGAGGGGGGCTTTACCGAAGGCTCCTATACTTTGCCAACCTACTACTCTGCTCTGCAGCAATCCTGGAAGAGGAGTAAAGAGAGAGCAAGGTGTGGATAGAAGGGTTAAA